AAAAAAGAAAGAGAGCAGTGGTTGTTAGCATGTGAGATATATAGAACATTTCTCAACTACTTAAGTTTTTGGATATGCAAACTTCAAGCCTATATGAGTGACTTTCGTTTGAGGGGGGCGTGTTAGTATGTGATATAAGATTCATTATACAACTCGAGTTATTAAAATCAACTGGTTCTTGACAATGTTGACCTATCTCCCTATCTATGTACTAATGGAGATGATTTAATAAGCGATAAAAGTTTTGTGTTCGAATCTTGGGAATCTCACTATTAAGGGTTGGTCGTCGAATTCGTGTTGATCAAAATTTCTAATTCTTACTAACTATGCAGACATTGTATTAATAGTCGCTGGCAGGGATGGCGTTGACCAATGGCAGAGACCAGGCACCCACCCTAGTTCCAGAGAAAATAAGTACATATAAAATATACAAGTAAGCGTTGTGAGATTTTGTACGTAAACCTCGTCAATTTTGGTTAATATTTCTACCACAAAAAAAATCTAATAATGAATTTAGTTGTCATTGTTACATATAATACATTCTAGTATCTACATAAATAAAATTTAAACAAGATAGAACAATTGCAATAAGTTAGCATTGTTTAAAATGAGATATAATTCTTGAGTTTTTAATAGAATCATGGTCACTCCACCTAAGCCTCCACTACTACAAGTTTTTGAAATAACATTTGCAATGAACCACGTGAAAAAACATTCTTTGATATTTAATGGGTGAAAAAATCATAAATGATTATCTGGTAGCAAATATTGAGCTAGATTGATATCATATATCTTTTCAATTGAAGATTGATATGATTATATGAATGCATATTATTATAAGTTTTCGAAAATATGATAAACATATGGTGGGACACTGTAAATTGGTTAAATTTTTTCTTATGACATTAATTTTTTTTTCATACCCACCTCATATAAAATTATGGCTAAGCTACTGGCGTTGATAGTTGATAATCCGAAGGTTCCTTTCCTTAGGCACGTACATCTGCAGTTGCATGCTATTTGGCCGTTGATGATGCATTGCTAAGGCCTAAGGCAGGCAATACCCGACTAGGAAGGGAGAAATGGCACGATTTTGTGGGTTGGAAGGAAAGGGATTAGACAATCCATTATCCATCCATTCCAGTCGATGCGACCAAATGTACAGTTTATGGAGACAAATGAACATGTTTAGCAGCTTAATTATCGATCTCCAACTGTTAAAAAGGGAAACCCTTTGTGTAAGTTTTGATATCGACCATTCGAAGCTAACAAAGCGACCATTTTACAAGCTAAGTACTGGAAATACCCATAGATATGGCAACCCGATCGATCAAACTGAAGAATCACTACGGAAAAATGGACCTCTTGCAACTCTTGGATTGCAACACCATTTAAAAGTGTTGCGTTCGATATATAATCGCAACACTTTTTTTTGAGTTGCATATATGATATTTTACGCAACTCAATTTAATAACGTGTTGCAATTGTTCTCTTATACGCAACACTTATCTCACAAATATTTTTAGGGTTGCCTATTTTTATAGTTTATACAACACTATGTAAAATTATGTCGCAAAAAGTCATCAACTTTATACAACACTTCGATATAAATTGATGTAGTTTTTTTGCTGATCATTCTAATGTATTCTCTTGATTGTTCAGATCTCTTCGTCGGTGGGCTCCGGTTGTTCTTACCTGCATCCCCCTATTATTGATCAATGGTGATGGCTGAGAAGGGATGTACATGAGAAAGCATTGAGCAAGAAGAAATTATTTATGGTGATGCATACCTGTTGTGTGCAGGCGGAAATTGAGAGCCAGAACATGGATTTTCAAAAATTGCGGTTTCACAAGGAGGAAAGCAATTTGATTTGGCGACAAGCCGACAACCATTGCCACCCTTTTTTCCCCCTATGTTTCTCTTATGCCGCATATTTCTTTTTACTTTTTGTATTGGGCGCTTTACATTCCAATTTCCAACTAAGAGAAATAGTAAAAGATTTTCTCGATCCACAATATATATTTTTTTTTATAAGAAGGTCCACAATATCTTTTAATCAACCGCAAAATGTATAAGTTATTAACTTTGAATATGGTAATTGAAATTGAATGGTTAATCTCATATATTGGACACTATTGATTATCTCAGAAATTCCTAAACACACCAACAAAATTTGCTAGGTAAAATTTACTAAGCACCGCTAGTTAAATGTATAAACTATAAAGCAATGAAACCCCCAAGTATTTTAAGCATTCTCTATTCTAGCCGTACTAGAACTTCTTTTACAATTTACAACAGGAACTAGACCTCAAACTTTTTATTAATTAGAATTTCTTTTACAATTTACAACAAGGACTAGAATTTATTTAACAAAGCAATGGAACCCCAAGTATTTTAAGCATTCTCTAATATGCTAATATGCTCTTATACTTGTTCTTGCTACTATACTTTGTTTGTTACATAATTATTTTTCTAAGGAGTATGATCTTGTATGTGGAGGTTATGATATTGACATATACATAGTGTTGTATATAATTTTAAGCTAATAATATCATGGAAACAATAATTTCGCACACATTCAATACATATGTATCGTAATGCTATACGAGTATGGTAAAAAGACTCTTCTCCCAACGGGGGCATCCCACCATTCACGCACAAAAGCTACATTTCCATGCAATGCTAACAATTCCTACCATTCATGACGTTGACAAGACCCTTAGATTTAGCAGCACCTTAGGACGGTATAGCCTTAAAGTTTAAAAGTAAGTTAAGGGCGAGGTTCAAATGGGAAAAAGCTTATGGTGGATACCTAGGCGCCCAAAGATGATTCTTTAAATAAAAATAATTACTAGTACTTAAATCTATTGTCTTGTGCTTCTACTGAAAAATCCGAAAGAAATTCTAATATCTTATGTTCAAAGAAAATAAATAAATCTAGATATGCATATTCTATGATATTCATGCACATGACCTATTTTTTCACGCACTCTCAATAATCTCATCTACCAATGAAATTTTTTCATTTCCTCTTATACATTCCTTTGAAACAATAGTTCATATGCTCATATATTAGTGAATTAAAATTTGTCACGTTTCATGAAGATATAGTTTCTTTGTCACGTTTCATGAAGATATAGTTTCGTACGTGACTAGTGGATATCCTATTATGGGACAAGAGACTTTTCATGAGAGTATTGGATGAATTATATATCACTAAATAGCTCAATACTAAGAATAATTTATTGATCTTCTGTTCATTTAAAATTTTCCACTAGTAATATAAATAACAAGTACGATTAGCAAGTGGAGCTTATGCATATCTACAGGGAAGGAAATGTGGTGGCAGACTATGTGGCATCGTTGGGCTACAACCTGCCGACTGAAGTTCATTTTCTTACTGCTCCTAATACTATTTTGAACCACAGGTTGTACTTTGATTCGAATGAGGTTCAAACACCTCGCTTGGTGATTATTGATTAAAGTTTGGGGTGCCATCTAGCGCTCCGATTTCTAAAATTCTTTAATCGTTCATTTTGTTAATTAAATTATTATAATAGGTCAAAAATAGATTAAAGGGCATTAGAAACCAGATAAGTGCAAATGTTGGAAAGGAAAAAGGTTTAATTATAAAGAATCGGACGTAGTATACACTACACAATCATAAAAGATAATCATGCAACTATAAAAGATTTGATCTCATCTACTTTCCCTTACTTTAATTACATAGTTAAGCCTTAATTATTTCTTAGAAAAGATCTTTCGTAATATCAGAAAGGAAAGTTCTATGTTCTTCCTATTAATTCTATTCATAATTCTTAGGTTTTCCACTCATAATTATAAACAAACCCTTCTCCACTATCCAGAACTTCGATCAGCCTACCCTTCTCGTCTCTTTTTCAGCCGCTCGTGGAACTTCACGTCGCCGTCAACTGGTTCTATTTATTTCCTTTACAGCAATTAAAAAGAAAACAACGTGCGCCTGTCTTCATGCCTGATTCGATATATTCCCTTTGTTTTCTGTTTTGACAGCAATGAGGATCGGCTGTGTCGCTGATATAAGAAGAGGAACAGTGAGACAACTAGAGTCCGACTATGATACAAAAGAGATGAAATTGAATCGGAGCCTCCAAAAGGCACGTAGTATTTAGTTTGTTATTTTCCAGTGATGCTACATACAGTGTTTATTCCTCCATCCGTGGCCTTAACGCCTCATGTTCATCAATTCCACTAAACTTTTTTTTATGTGTTTTGTTGATTTCAGCCGCTGCCGAGTTGTAGCTCAAGCAATCCCATGAATGATTAAAACATGTTTCTCAAGAAAGCAAAGAGAGGATCGAAGCATGAAGTGTTTCAGTCCGGATAATTACATTAAAATTAATGTACTTGTTCTTAGCTTTGTTATACATGTATTCACTTTAAGGAATATTCTTACATAAAAATTCAATTCGTTGTATAAGTGTAATTGTGGGCATCTTAATTTAGAGTTCTTCAGCAAACGTGTTATGTCTTCACTACTGATTCAAAACATCATATCAAAAGAACTTTTTGTGACAAAAAGTTTTGTTGTGATTTGCATCCAAAAGAGACAAATGCAAAAGTTTCATTATCACGGAAAAGCATTTCAATGATGATCATAGTCGTCACCATTTACAAGCTTTCGTGATGAAATGCTAATCACCTATGATTGCAATCTGTGATATATCATTTTGTCGATTTCTTTATGTGATAAAAATATCGTCAGAAAATAATTCTGTTGTGACAAGCATATAGTCACAAAAGTATAATATGAGTGACGATCCAAATTCATCACATAGTGTTGCATAAGTGACAATATAATTCATCACAAATAATTATTTTGGTGTCAGCCAACCTGCTCCATGGATCATATATTGAACTTCGAAAAGTGTATTTGCTACCGAATAATGGTCACACATGACAATTATTTGTGAGAATTAAACATGTCACTGTTTTGGTTTACAGTGTCGATAGTAATTTGTCACGAAAATTATCTTTATTGACAAAAACACTGTCACGCAAGGATTAATATCCATTACAAACAAAATTGTCACAATTAGTCCAGCATTTAGTGACGATTCAGACTTGTCACAAATAAAAATTTAAATGTTGCGAAAACTTGTAGAAAATGTTGCCTATGCTAGAAAAATGTGTTGCACAAATTTTGAAATGTGTTGCCTAAAGTGGTGTTGCGTAATAGGTAAGGATACGCAACCCTTTTTATTTTGGTTGCACAAAGTGAAAAAAGAGTTGCTTATTCCATTTGCAACCCCCACTATATGCAACCCTAGTGAAAGTGTTGTGTTAGGATGTTGCAACTCTTTTAAGACTTTACGCAACACATTTTTGGGGTTGCAAGAGGCTATTTTTCCCGTAGTGAATATGTCGACTTTTGATGATAACATACCACACCGTATAACCTAACAAGCTAAGTCTCGCAACTCCAAAAATAATGGAGCACTTTTTTCGATTTCGACGACTTTCCTCACGTAATATTTTAATCGTTAATTCATCGCTTGAATCTTGTTTTCAATCATTTTTCGACATTTTTACTTCGGATCTTGATAGAAACCTATTTCTAGGGATCTATCGATTGGGTTATTATGTTGGGTAATTGGAGATTTATGGAGAATTGGAGGTAGAATTAGGGATTGGAGAAAGAACAAGAGAGAATCGGCCGAAGGCTTTCGAGGAATAAGAGACGAGAATTGAGAGGGAAGGGAGATTAGGGTTTAGGAGATTGTTTCTTAATTCTTTCTTGATTGATTTTTAAATGAATAACTGAGTACACTTATATAGGAAAAAGAGCTGAAATCCTAACAATAAACCTAAACTTAACAACCAAGCAATAGTTTATCCTAGTAATTATCTCTAATATGAATATGGTAATTATAATAGAAACCCGTGGAAAGTAGGTTTCTATCATCCTCTCCCCCTTGAGACCAACCTTGCCCTCAAGGTTGACAGACTTGTCCTGCTCCTCAACTCTTCTCTTTCCAACCAGGTGTTGTCTCCCCCGCTTCTTGTGTTTCCTTCTCTTCCAATCTGGTAGGAGGACTCGCACCGTCGATCTTGTGATTACTCTTGCGAATTGGTCAAGGAACATTGACTTCAAGGATCCACTCTTTGCTTTCTTGCCCAACAGCTCCTCTTTCGTTGGGACTACGATCTAGTAGCTTAATGAATCCGAATGTGCTTTATAGCACAAGAACCTATCCTTAAGAACCAATTCATCAAGGCCCTCAAATATCTTCTTAATAGCTGACCCATAAAAGAAACTTATGGCCTCTCCACTTGCTGTTGGGTCATGCTCTCTTACAAACCCATCTGTCAACTCCTTGTGCCAACTATACCTTTCCTCCAACTCCATTCTCTTCAAAGAGCAGTCCACCATGAGCCCAATCCTTTTCAGACAATTCAGCCCACGAACAAACTCATGTTCGGCCCAATTCACTTTCACTTTTGGCCAACTCTGCTGCTCTGTTCTCACCCACTAAACTGGTCCAACAATCCCACAATGAGCCCTGCCAGAGCCGACCCATACTCCAAGCCTGCGTGGCCCGCCGTCTCCTCCAACATAACTCCACCCAACCTGGCCATTTGCAGAGATGCCAACCCAAGGTTGGCGATCTAGGGTTTGAGAGAAGGAAGAACCCAAAGTCTTAACCACCATCCAACCCACGGATCCAAAGCAGATTCCCGGCCCACGAAACGTGGCCCATATGATATCTCCCCTGATATTTCGTGCGACCCACATTTCATGACCTAGGGCTTGCGGGAGGAAACTCGCCGCCGTCGTCGGCCTCCATCTTCGACGACGAACACCTCCCCTGGATCCCGCTAACTTCCATCTTCATCTTCGTCCCTACCTCCTCTTCAGTCGATGCCACCATGAGAGCCATCTTCCATCGCACGACTAGTGCCGCCGTGCTCACCACTAGCCCGGTCTTCCTAATCGCCGTCGTCGTGACTTGAGCTACCAGTGCGACCTCCGACCTCGTGGAATTGACCCGTAGAGCTACCACCGCCTCAGCTTCTCCTTTCCGCTCGATGTCTATGCTCACCTCTGCTAGCGATGGTTCCAAGCTTCTGTTTGACTGATTCACGACCATTGTGACGATTGGCGGAGACAGAGTAGCACAGCCAGCCTCCATCGATTCCTCTTCTTCGACTGGTTGGTGGTCGACGACCAACCAAGCTGTCGCTCATTCCCGGTCATTTCCGCAGGTGGTCGTGGTGACCGCTCGGATCAGATCTGTGGTTAACGATGACTGGTCATCTGGCGGCCGCAGCGGCGACGGAGTGGCTGGGTTTAGGAACGCTCCACACCGGCTCTACTGCTCGATCGACGATTCTGCGAACGCGATCGTCGATCGTGATTAGTGACGCTCCTTGCGTCCCTCTGGATAGTACCCGACAACGCGTCGTCTGCTTCATCTTCCTCTCTGGCTCCTTCTCTCGCGCCTGTGGTGACGCGATGGGGGTAGCAGCTACCGAAGCTTCTTCTCCAAGGATAAAAGCCAGAACCAGCTTCGGTTCCCGCGACTCCAGTGTTGCGACGGTGTTGATGGTGCTTGTCATTGCAGGCGTCATTGTCATGACCCTCGCAGATGATGGTGTGGTTGTGGCCGCCTAATCTGCTTCTTCAACTGCAGCTGGGAGAAATACGGCAGAAATTTCTGCCGCGGGTGGTGGAGATGATGCTTCAACGGTGATGATGGGTGGCTTGATCCGCCGAGGGGGTTAAGGAGGCTTTCGACCTCCTTCGCCTCCACCTCACACGCCTCCTGCACTAGCGTTTTCGCGAACTTCGCGCCAATGAAGTTTAGCGAAGCACAGTTGTCCACCAATGTCATGGCGGAGCGCCCGTCGATGTTTGCGAGGAATCGTAGCGTCTTCGGAACCTCCTGACCTGCCACTGAGTTGAGGAAGATGCTCGCTACGTCAGCACCAACCGTTCGAGCTTGCGCCGCGGTTTCCACGGTCGGCCCAGCTCGTCGCCGCTGCTCCTCTTCGCCCGCGGCCGGGACCGCTGCCCTGCCATCCGTCGCTGCACCCTTCGCCCTCTCCCGCTCTTCCCGTTCGTAGCGGTCAAGAGACTGCTGCAACATCTGGCTAAGACGGACCCATTCTGGATCGAAGAACTTCGATGAGCTCATTCTGGCTATGATATCAGATGATAGAAACCTATTTCTAGGGATCCATCGATTGAGTTATTATGTTGGGGAATTGGATATTTATGGAGAATTGGGGGTAGAATTAGGGATGGGAGAAAGAACAAGAGAGAATCGGCTGAAGGCTTTAGAGGGATAAAAGACGAGAATTGAGAGGGAAGGGAGATTAGGGTTTAGGAGATTGTTTCTTAATTCTTTCTTGATTGATTCTTAAATGAATAACTGAGTACACTTAGAAAAAGAGCTGAAATCCAAACAATAAACCTAAACTTAACAACCAAGCAATAGTTTATCCTAGTAATTATCTCTAATATGAATATGGTAATTATAATAGGTTTCTATCATCCCCTCCCCCTTGAGACCAACATTGCCCTCAAGGTTGACCGACTTGACCTGCTCCTCAACTCTTCTCTTTCCAACCAGGTGTTGTCTCCCCCGTTTCTTCTGCTTCCTTCTCTTCCAATCCGGTAGGAGGACTCGCACCGTAGATCTTGTGATTACTCTTACGAATTGGTCAAGGAACATTGACTTCAAGGATCCACTGTTTGCTTCCTTGCCCAACATCTCCTCTTTCGTTGGCACTACGATCGAGTAGCTTAAGGAATCCGAATGTGCTTTATAGCACAAGAACCTATCCTTAAGAACCAATTCATCAAGGCCCTCAAACATCTTCTTAATAGCCGACCCATAAAAGAAACTTATGGCCTCTCCACTTGCTGTTGGGTCATGCCCTCTTACAAGCCCATCTGTCAACTCCTTGTGCCAACTATACCTTTCCGCCAACTCCATTCTCTTCAAAGAGCAGCCCACCATGAGCCCAATCCTTTTCAGACAACTCAGCCCACGAACAAACTCATTTTCGGCCCAATTCACTTTCACTTTTGGCCAACTCTGCTGCTCTATTCTCAGCCCACTAAACTGGTCCGGCCAGCCCACAATGAGCCCTGCCAGAGCCGACCCATACTCCAGGCCTGCTTGGACCGCCTTTTCCTCCAACATAACTCGGCCCAAACTGGCCATTTGCAGAGATAGCCAACCCAAGGTTGGCAATCTAGGGTTTGAGAGAAGGAAGAACCCAAAGCCTTAACCACCATCCAACCCATGGATCCAAAGCAGACTCCGGGCCCATGAAACTTGGCCCATACGATCTCTCCCCTGATGTTCCGTGCGACCCACTTTTGGTGACCTAGGGCTTGCGGAAGGAAACCCGCTGCCACCGTCGTCCTCCATCTTCGACGACGAACACCTCCACTGGATCCCGCCAGCTTCCATCTTCATCTTTGTCCCCGCCTCCTCTTCAGTCGACGCCACCATAAAAGCCATCTTCCATCGCACGACTGGTGCCGCCGTGCTCACCACTGGCCCCGTCTTTCTGATCGCTGTTGCCGTGACTTGAGCTACCAGTGTGACCTCCGGCCTCGTGGAATTGACCCGGAGAGTTACCACCGCCTCAGCTTCTCCTTTCCGCTCAATGTCTATGCTCACCTCTGCTAGCGATGTTTCCAAACTTCTGCTCGACTGATTCACGGCCATTGCGACGATTGGCAGAGACAGAGTAGCACTGCTAGCCTCCATCGGTTCCTCTTCTTTGACTGGTTGGTGGTCGACGACCAACCAAGCTGCCGCTCGTACCCGGTCGTTTCCGCAGGTGGTCGTGGTTGCCGTTCGGATCAGATTTGGGGTTAACGAGGACTGGTCGTCTGGCGGCCGCAGCGGCGACGAAGTGGCTGGGTTCAGGAATGCTCCACTCCGGCTCTGCTGCTCGATTGACGATTCTACGGACACTGTCGTCGATCGTGACGCTCTTTGCGTCCCTCGCGATAGCGCCCGACAACACGTCGTCTGCTTCATCTTCCTCTCTGGCTCCTTCTCTCGCGCCTGTGGTGACGCGTTGGGGGTAGCATCTGCTATCGAAGCTTCTTCTCCGAGGATAAAAGCCACAACCAGCTTTGGTTCCCGCGACTTCGGTGTTGCGACGGTGGTGAATGATGATGGTGCTTGTGATTGCAGGTGTCATTGTCGTGACCCACGCAGATGGTGGTGTGGTTGTGGCCGCCTGATCTGCTTCTTCAGCTGCAGCTGGGAGAAATACGGCAGAAATTTCTGCCGCGGGTGGTGGAGATGATGCTTCAACGGTGATGGTGGGTGATTTGATCCGCCGAGGGTGTTAAGGAGGCTTTTGAACTCCTTCGCCTCCACGTCACACGCCTCCTGCACTAGCGTTTTCGCGAACTCCGTCCCAATGAAGTTGAGAGAAGCACCGTAGTCCACCCCTGTCATGGCGGAGCGCCCGTCGATCTTCGTGCGGAACTGTAGCGTCTTCGGAACCGCCTAACCTGCCACTGAGTTGAGGGAGACGCTCGCTACGTCAGCGCCGACCTGTCGAGCTTGCGCCGCGGTTGCCACGGCTGGCCCAGCTCATCGCCGCTGCTCCTCTTCGCCCGCGGCCGCGACGTTGCCTTGCCATCCGTCGCCGCACCCTTCGCCCTCTCCCGCTCTTCCCGTTCGTAGCGGTCAAGAGACTGCTGCAACAGCTGGCTGAGATGGACCCATTCTGGATCGAAGAACTTCGATGAGCTCATTCTGGCTCTGATACCAGATGATAGAAACCTATTTCTAGAGATCTATCGATTGAGTTATTATGTTGGGGGATTGGAGATTTATGGAGAATTGGGGGTAGAATTAGGGATTGGAGAAAGAACAAGAGAGAATCGGCCGAAGGCTTTAGAGGGATAAAAGACGAGAATTGAGAGGGAAGGAAGATTAGGGTTTAGGAGATTGTTTCTTAATTCTTTCTTGATTGATTATTAAATGAATAACTGAGTACACTTATATAGGAAAAAGAGCTGAAATCCTAACAATAAACCTAAATTTAACAACCAAGCAATAGTTTATCCTAGTAATAATCTCTCATATGAATATGGTAATTATAATAGAAACCCGTGAAAAGTAGGTTTCTATCATATCTATATAGGCGAAAGATCATGCGCTAACAATGTTGAAATTGATTATTGCGTCGACAATTTTGACTTACAGCTACTGACCATAAATTCAAATTGATTATTGCGTCGATCAAAATTACGTCTTCTGTCAAGGAATAAATGAATTTCTATGGGTCGTGACTTGCGATGAGACATGTTAATTAAGTCAATTTCTATCTGGCAGATTACATCATAATTGAGATTAAAGAACATTCACAACAAATCGAAAACGTAAAATAATTGATCAAACTCTCCCTTGGTACGTACTTGATCATTAATTCCTGTAATCTCTTTTGTCCCCGCTCTGGCTGACTTAAATTTCCGGCTATGCCTCTATTAGGTATGGAAAGAACTCAGTGTCCGATAAGAGATGAGAGCATATTAAGTGGTGGAGGTAGAAAGAAGGTTAATTGTGATCGCCCCGACTCAACATAAGATGCATAACTATGAATAATTAAATCTGGACCCTTTTTTTAAGTGGCTGCAAATCTAAGGGTGGAGGTATAAAGAAATTTATTTTCTCTAATTTAATTGATCGGATCATATCTTCTTCACTCTAATTCGGATTTTTTTTTCACAGATGGAACGAGTTTGTTGTGCTCTACAAAATGATATCCATTTTCAATGTTTTTCGAGAAAAAAAATTCCATACCTTTCGTTACCAACTCCATACCATATGGTACTCCTTCGTTTTTTAGTCGTTTTCGAAAAATTTTGCATAGAAGGAATGATTTAATCATGATCTATTGGATTTCAAATTTGTTCCAAAAAATATCATAGTGGAAATTATTTTGAAGAGCACAATTAATCTGATCAAACTTTGCAAAAAAATTAAATTCTGAGTTAAAACGAGTGAGAAATCGTCCGCTAAAGATTAAGGGAAGGAAAATTAAAGGGTTTTCGAGAAAAGAGAAAGAGGTGCTGATGTGGCAGATTCTTATTAGGTTATATATAGGTTTATAGCACCACAACGTTCCTCACCGAATCTCCTCCGGTAGCCCCTAAGAACGAATTTGAAGGACCATTACGGTAGTGCCCTAACTATTGTACTTTTTGTGTTCCTTTTTCCTTCTGTTGAATCGAACTTGCACGTTCTCCTTTGATGCTACAAAAAGGACGATCGAACGTTTGCTATGTTTGCTTGGACATTGGACAATGACGACCTAGCTAGCTAGGTCCAATTGGATTCGGGTCCAGCCCTTTAACAACTGTTGGCGTGAAATTTCCCTCACTAAGGGTTCAGGATAGCAAAGGTATTACGTGTGCCATCAGTCGGCCATGGAAATGGAAAAACCATGCAAAAGAGAGGGACGTCCATCGACAGAAGCTTCTGCTTTTCCTTTGTATGGACTATGGTGGAACGAAGGAAGAAGGACTTGCATGTGCAATGTTACATCACTTTCGTTTTGCTTGCCTATTGATTCCATCTCCGGGTTTGGTTTGGCTGGCTGCTGGTATTAATTGAGATCGGTTTGTTTTTTACATGATATCAGAACTGGTTTGTTCTTGAGGTAAAGGTGTTCAAATCTCCTCGCAACCTCCCACATTAGTCGTTGTGTTTAAGTGGTATGGCGGGACCTATGCAAATTTCAAGCCTATGAAATAACTTTCGTTTGAGGGGAGCATGTAAGGAAGCGATTAGTATCATATATAGAACTCTTCCAATAATTCAAGTTATTGGGAATTCTAAGTTATTAAAAGTTTGGACTTTGCTACGGTGACATGCATGTCACGGTGACATGCACTTTTCGATCGACCTCATATAGGATTAGGTCAACCTACTCTATTGTTTCAGTGTAAAAACAATTTCATGGTGTATACTTTGGATTTCATATCTTACAATTGGCTAGATGGAAATTGGAGATTAATGGCTTGTTTTGAAGCTGAAGTGTCCCTCTACACATTAAAGTACTTGGCAGCTCGATAGGAAGTCCAGAAGACCATTTTGAACCTGATCAAAAGGTTATGCCAAAACTGGGAAACTTCCTGAAAATGGCCAAGTCTGGGAACGTGTTTGTGAAGCCTACTTTTGAGCACAATTTGAGAAGCATGGATGCGATCCGAGTCCAGGAGCCTCTACCACATTAAATTAGATATTTTTTCTACAAAGGCAAGGCATTGGATAAAAGATTGGATATCTATAAGACTTCAAACAAAAGGCTCGAAGTTGCTACGAAGACTGTTTTTCTGGCAGCTTGCTTGTACTCGAAGTCTGCCAGAAAAACAGCCTTCGTAGCAACTTCGACCGTTTTGTTTGAAGCCTTATAGATATCCAATATTTCATCCAATGACTTGAATTTGTATAAAAACATACCTAATTTAACGTGGTAGAGGCCCCTGGACTCGACTCGCATTCATGCTTCTCAAATTGAGCTCCAAAGTAGCCTTCACAAACACGTTTCCAGACTTGGCCATTTTCAGGCATTTTCCCTGTTTTGGCATAGCCTTTTGATCATGTTCAAAAATGGTCTTCTGGACTTCCTATCGAGCTCTTAATCACTTCAATATGTAGAGGGACACTCCACCTTCAAAACAAGCCATTAATCTTGAATTTCCATCTAGCCAATTGTATGATATGAATCTCCAAAGTAGGTGCCATGAAACTATTTTTAGACTGAAACAACAGATTAGGTCGACCTAATCCTAAATGAGGTCGACCTAATCCTAATTGAGATCGACCGAAAAGTGCAAGTCACCGTGACATGCACGACCTAATCCTAAATGAGATCAACCTAATTCTCAATGAGGTTGACCTAATCCTAACTGAGGTCGACCGAAAAGTGCAAGTCATTGTGACATGCATGTCACCATAAGAGCAACCTAAAAATTTTCAAAAGATCTAATGATAAATTTTCGACCAAACACTTGCTTACTACATCAACCACCGTTTCGTTAAGTACTTGGGAGAGAGACCATCAATTGAAAAGACAAACAGAGAAAAGTGAGATGTTTGAGAGTTAGATTATTAAAACTGGATCCTTCCAAATTTGTCCATTTTAGTCTGTAGAGAATTTAGCTGTTGGCGTTGGGCAAGTCTGCAGTCAGAGGAACAAGCTAGCAAACTGCAAAGTACGAATCTAATGGAGAAGGCCCATTACCGATTCACAACCCAATAGAACTTTTATCACTTGGTCCATATGCACTCTTAGCCCAAGAGTTGACCCACCTCGAACCACTTTTTGGAGCACCTTGGACTATTGAACACTATTACAAGTTATTTGCAGCAGACGGTTGAAACTGTACATACAGAACGTTTTTTTTTTTTTTTTTGTGAAAGCATACAAAACTCTAAACCTGCAACTTTTCCTCGATCTATACTCTAACCAGGGTTGCTGAAGCAGATTCATGGCATTGCAGCATAACGCAAGGAAAGAAAGTTGAGAAAAGGGTACTACTTTCTCTTCCCACGTTGATAACAGATCAAATAGCCGTCATTTTTATCATGTAATATTGCAGAAAAGAAAAACTAGCTAGACTGTCATCCAAATGAATGATAAAATAAATATAACTCCTTTTAGTCTCAAGAACCAAAAAAGAAACCAAGGGAAGAACAGATACCCAGTTACCAAAGGGCCAACCCCAGAACTCTTCAGTTGATGGTTATGGCTGCCATAACTTTTGCTCAAGAACTTCCACTAAATGGAGTGGAAAGTCTTTATCTTTCATCTTAAGCTCAACATTTAACCAAACCCAGATCCTTAAGCAGATACAGCAGCAGGCTTCTGCTGCTTGGTGTCCTCTGTTTGCAAGCTCTCGTAGTACTTCACAAGGACCTTCCACCCTCCCGGGCACATAAAACCATCGGGTGGGTTTTCACCTGTTTTTGCAAATGTCCTCATCTGCAAGATAGAAATGTGTAAAAGTAAAGAACAGACAAGCAGACGACTGACTCGTGATAAAATAACATTGACATCGATGTCACTTAAAGTTAGATTATTGCTTTGCAGACCTTGTTATTTAACCTACTAAGCCTTGTGATGAATGAAGGGTTCCGAAAATCACCAAAACAAACGACCAAACTTTACTATCTTGAATTTAACATGTGATATATCACCCTAATTGAGCAATGAAAACCCATGCAGATTCCTGGATCACCCATGTCAGAAATGCAGTAGCTAGGGGCCCCGCAGCCAAAACTGTTAATAAAAACTACACAACAGTACAGCTAATGAGAATAGATGATATTCGTATACCTTGGTTCCAGATATGAATAGAAAATCTTGCGCTCTTGATGGATCAAAAAAGGCCATCTTCTTTGCAACTGTATCGTAAGCTGCTACCTGCATAACATCCTTTCAACTGTCAGACTACTTTGCAATTTCGTTGACCAAACAACCATTGCAATCAAAACAGAGACGGATCAAGGGAGTTTCTTCTTCCTAACCTAATCGAGCCTAAAAGATACTAGCTCAAGAGAGAAAAAAAAATATAGACAAGCAGAAATGGTGCATACTGAAACTGAACATCCAAAACCTTACCCTGAAGGGCAAAATATTCAGTTTCTCAAGCCCAGGAGCCATGCTCAACACCTTCTTCCCATGGTCAGGATCATACAAATCTCTCTTCTCCACAGGATGCCCCATGCCAGCAGGATCACGACCCACAATATAAAAGTTAGCTCCTGCGTTTATTCTTGCCTTGGCATGCCATTGCACTTCTGTCGGACCAGCGTAATGCATAGGTGAAGGGAAAATTGCAACTATCGTGGTCTCTGGATCAAGAACTTTGTCCTCTAAAACCTTGCTGTGTTGTTCCATTCGGACATCCAAAGGCACATCATCAGCCTTCACAAACCCTCCCAAAGGATGCAGCAAGAGAATGGGATTCTTGTAACCCATATCCAGAAGCCGCCTACGAGTGTCGTTCATCAAAAGAGCGTGACCATTGTGAACCGGGTTTCTTAGCTGAAAAGCGAAAACTGCATCAGCTCCACGCTTATCAAATTCTTTGCGTAGCTCCTTGGGGGAGAGGCGATAATGATCGAGCCCGTCATTGTACTTGATAGTTTTTAGGACTTCAAGGTCTCCGCCAATGAGCCAGTTTCCAGCTTGAGTGATGCTCTCCTCCACGTAGGGTAAACCAGGAGCAGTTGTGCCCCAGGTTCTGGCTATTCTCTCTTCTTTGTTGTGCTTGTATATTTCTATACTGCAAATCAAGGCACAAAAACACCATTGGTTCACCAGTTTCTTGAACTCTCGCATCATCTAACCATTTAACATTCATTGTTGATGGGGTTAATATGTTGAATACGCCAAATGGTGTCACTGAACTATGAGGTTTATAATAAAATATGTCAGTAAACTAAACATACAACTGATACGTCAGTAAACAACCACCTTTTCACATTCCATTTACACTGAAATTGGCACATTGACTCAACTGAACTAACGAGAGATCCAACGGAACGAGAGTAAAGATCACCTAGTTTGCTATAGATAGTTATGCGACTGTTTAGGAATTTAATCCATTGTGCTTAACAGCCTAAACACGTGAGCAATAAGAAGGCAATTTCAATGATGAGACAAGCCTATTTCGGCATGTTAACTCAACCAAACTAACTACAGATTAAACGAAATGAGATGCAAGCCGCTTAGTTTGCTATAAACCTCACAGTTTTGTTATGTGACCATTTAGGCGTTTTGAACCCCATCGTTCTAACCAGCTTCAACAAGTAAGCAATAACAAGGAAATTACTGTGATGTAAAGAGCCTAATCGGCATGCTGACTCTACCGAACTAACTGCAGAGCAAGTGAAATGAAACATCGGTACAAGTCACTTAGTGTGCTACAAACCTCACAGTTCTCGGACAATTTCAGCAATTGAACCCCCCATTATCCTTGTCATTTCCAACAAATGAGCAATGACAAAACAAACCACCAAAAGCTGCAGCTTATTACTAACCTTCGAAGAATGGCAATGACATCCCCATCAGGACCCAAAAGAGCAACATCTTTCGCGGACCCAATACTCTCCTTAGTCCCATCATCAATCGCCAACACAATTGGGAGCGACATGTTCACCACCTTCCCATCCTCCATCCTCAACGAATTGAAATGCAGGCTCTGCAAATACTCGTCCTCCCTCATGAAACCTCTCAACGGGCTCGCCCACCCTTCACTCACCACATGAACCCACTCCACATCCACCTTCGTCAGCTTCACCTTCGGCAACCCTTCAGCCTCAGAAACCTTCCCGGCCCTCTCCCCCTCCGGCACCACCAAATCCACCAGTGCCCCGCCGTCAGGGTCGATCAAGGAGCTCTTGATCGCCGGCAAAACAGCACCCTTCATGTTTCTCGACCTCGTCGTCCGCCTGTACAGAAATGGAAGCAACTCGTTAGCGCCGTAAATGGGTTTCCCCACCAGCAGCTTCACATTCGTCACGGCAGCCACGGGAGCTCGTCGTATAGCGGTGTGGGGAATGATGTGGGGAACAACGTGGAGCTTGATTGTCAGCGACATGATGGAGGGTTTAAGATCCGTCGAAACTGGGAAGAGAGATGGTGGGGGAAATTGAAGGGTTCTTCTATATTTAGCTAACGGTTCGAAAGAGAGAGAGATTACCCTGTAAGATTCGGAGTGAAGAGGATCCACACATTCGCTGCGGGAGTCTTTGTGGATGGAAGGAATTCGATTTATTGCTGGGGGACCAACCAAAACCAGAGAAGGGGGAAAAAGCGAGCCAGCCCAAAAAGGAATCGATGACAGATGAAAAAGCAACCGCGAAAGGCTTCTCTTCTCTCCCTCCAGCCACCACTTGCTTGACCAACTGAATATGTCGGACGGCCGCTCGGGTTCTCGATGAAGATTAGTACGTTACGATGGCGACGGGAAGATCGATCACAGTGACTGACGGTTTAATTCAGCTCAATATAACGGCCGTCGTCACAAGAGTGAGAGAGAGCAAGAGCAAAGACCAAACGGATGGTGACGACTGACGGTCATGAAAGTCAAGACCAGGACGTTGATGAAACCTTTTAGCAACAAGTTGAGCTTTAAAATGCTCGATAGACCCATTCGGGTGGCACTTCACACGTCAGACCCAACAATTATCAACAACATTCTAATGTGGAAGACGAGGGATCAGATCCCACGTATGATTAGCCAGAAGGCAGAATTCTCGGCGGCCATAGCTTTGTTCCACTTGGGATTAAGCAAAGCCTCCTTCACATAAGTCGGTTCCAATGGGGGAGAAGTCTGGGCTGTAGCAACATTAACATACTTGGGATGGGATTAGGCTTCTGTATGGCATTCTTACCACGTGTGACCATGGGATGGGGACCCGGCGGATGCTGCGACGAAGATGGCCGAGCAACACCAGGAGCGGGAGAGTCCGTAGAGGGAGGAAGAGTCTCCAACACTGTAGGTGCTGAAAAAGATGCATCACCAACCGGTGTGTGAGGACGAACGGGCGACGACGATGACCGTGAAGGGAGAGCTGGTGGTGCGGGAAGGAGACTGACTGGAGGCAAAAAGGCAGTAAACCACGAGGGAAGCACCATGTCCGAGCGAGAGGAAGAAGTGGATGACGAGGACAAAAGACTTAGACCAGGAAGTTCGAATTCAACAAAAACAACGTGACATGACAAAAAAACACGAAGAGTAGTAGGATCGAGACACTTATAGGTACTTTGTTGATGGGAATAGCTAAGGAAAAGACAAGGTCGAGATCTAGAATGAAGTTTATTTGGAGCATAGGGACGCAACCAGGGATAACACAAGCAACCAAAGACACAAAACTTAAGATAGTTAGGAGACTCATTGAACAAAAGAGAGAAAGGTACTTGACCGCAAAGGGGAGATGACAGGATACAATTGATTAGATAAACAATAGTGAAAAAGGCATAGGACCAATGAGAAAGAGGTAAACGAGCCTGATGCAGTAAAGCAAGACCCGTTTCAACAATATGACGATGTTTTCGTTCAGAAAAATGAGTAACAGTATACGGTGGGGTGAGAAGATGAGTGACACCATGAGAAACAAGTTCATGACGCAGTTTGACAAACTCACCTCCACCATCAGTATAAAGTCGACGTGACGGATGGTAGTAGCAAAATAATTTTCGACCAAACGTTGGAACGCAGTGAAAACAGACATAACAACAGACTTACGATGCAGGGGATAAAACCAAGTATAACGAGTATAATGGTCAACAAGAACAAGATAATACGAATAACCATCAATAGAGGGAATATGCGCAGGGCCCCCAACATCAGAGAAAATTAGATCTAAGAGCCGAGAACTTGAAAGACTAGACACAACGAAGGGTAGTTTATGACTCTTGTTCGACAAACACGAATTACAATGAGAGAGATCCAACGACCTAACAACAGGAAGAGAATTGACACGTAATAGACTAGACAAAGCACGAGACGACGGATGCCCATGACGACGATGCCATAATTCAGAAGTATTGTGAGTGGTAACCACGCAAGACAGACAACTCCAGAACCACCACCAAGCTCGTACGTATCACCGTTGTTCCTTCCGGTTAGCAGTGCCGCCCCCGTTCTTAGATCCTTCACAACAAACAAATTAGCAAAAAATTCCACGGAGAAAGGATTAGTACGACAGAGTTTGGCAATAGAGATCAACCACTTGCGAATACCACACATAAAATATTATGAAGTGTAAGACGACAAGTAGAAGCAGGAAGAGAAGAAGAGCCAATGTGTGTGATTTCCAAACATGTACCATCTCCAATATAAACTTCATCGGGACCATTATAGTCCGAGTAGATGCCTAGGTCTCCAGGATCGCGAGTGACGTGATGGCTCGCAGCAGAGTCCATAATCCAGGAGTCATCTGTCGGAGCAGACAATCGGGGACGAGATGACGCAGAGAGTGCAGTAGTGTTGTTGGCCTCCGGGCGCTTGTGAGGAAAGAGCTTAAATCAAGTGCAAGTAGAGTGGTCTGGCTTCTCACAGAACTGGCACACGATACGAGTGGTGTGGCGACCATCATCATCACCACGAGGAGTATCCCAATAATTGGAGTAGGAAGAGGGAGGCGGAGAGGAACCACGACCAGCCCCGCGGCCAGGAATGCCGCCACGACGGCTGCGACCACGCCCCCGCTGAGTAGCAAATGCCGTAGCTAGAGAGTCAGTAGGACGAGATGCAATAAACATTACGAGCCCTAATTCCTGCTGCGAATTCCCGGTAATCGGGACCCAGGCCATGTGACAACCTCGGTGCCGTTACTTTAGCACTAATCCTGTGTTTCATTCTCGTATGAAGCATCTTGCTTTGGACTATTTGTTTATTCGTCAGTTAGTCCAGTCTCGTCTGCTTCTTGCACGACAGGTTCCCACTGCCACTCAGCTTGCCGATCTGCTTACTAAGCCATTACCGTTGGCGCGGTTTCGACTTATGTGTTCCAAAATTGGACTCGCTGATGGCCTGTTCACTTTACATTCCGTTTTTTGTAGCTGCCACAACAAAAAACAAATTAAAATGAAAACGAAACTGGTGATTTCTGAGAAATAAACCTGCAGAAAACTTGTTTAGCTGAGAATTTTGGTGAGTTCTAAAACTGAATTCTGAAAATGAAAATATGTTTAGTTACTTCATTATGATTCTTGGTACTTGATTGCTACAAAATTTTTTATTAAACATCATATAACACGAATCATGATTATAATTATTAATACAAATCACATAATTTTCAAACAACTCCGAACCATTAATTAGGGACTCAACCCACCACCATTTCACTTAATTATACTATTTGCAAGTATAGCATCCTGCCTAATTATACAAAGACACGGCCAATTATACAAAGACAAAAAAGTACAGATTGTTTTAGTAGCAGTAGCAGCGGTAATTGACCGGGTAAGATAGTTATTGTGGATCTCTACGGAACACCACTTCCTAAATAACCCAGATGGTCACTCTCGAAAAAGTCGAAACCAAATCCCTGTACACTGCCTCTTCCTAGCAAGAAATTTCTTGATGGAGCAGTAGGCAATGGAGCTGTCAGCGACCATGAAAGCGGAGTGCAGATGCAGAGGTGAGGTCAAACACAACGACGGTCAGCACGGGAATGAACAGCCCACCGCCGTCGATCCCGACGGCGCTGGAGATCGATGTGGCTAAGAAACAGAGCATTGCCGTTATTAGCCTGCCACCATTGATGGGATACTGGGGACCTCATCGTCATAGGATCGGGACTCGGGAAGGGTCTGTGGAGTTGGAGAACTGGAGAATTGAATTTAGAAGAACGGGATGGGGATGGAGATTAGTTTTAGGATGGTGGACGACTGATTTCATATTGGGGAATAAAAAAAGGCTGACCAAGGGATTCGAAGCCCTTACCTCATTTAACTACAGTGGAGGAATTGGGGGTAAATCTCTTTCCTCATTTCCAGAAAATCAATATTTCTTGTTTTCCCGGGTAAAATACCTCGGGTACCACTTAAGTTTGAGAATTGGAGCAAACATACCACTTAAATTTGAATAGGGGGTCGTGTACCACTGAACTCTATTATTTGTGCATTGGGTACCACTTAAGTTTAATGTTAAGTGCATTCCGTTAAAGTTAACAGAATATTCTTGGAATATTCTATTTTCTAAATTTCTTAATTGGTCCTTCTACTTTTCTTATTGTAAAAAATCATTTTGACTTATGAAAAACATTAATTTTTATTTATTTAGTTGGTATCCTCTTTTGAAGACTTGATACCAAATTAAATTTTTAATAGAAAATTTAGAATCAATTATCATTATAAGTATTTTCAATTATCATTATATTTTCTAATAATTGAATTATTCTATGAAGCAAATATATCCTATGAATTCTGTTTAGTTGGAATCCTCTTTTGAAGACTTTGATATCAAACCAATTTTTTAATAGAAAATGTAGAATCAATTATCATTATAAGTATTTTCAATTACCATTATGTGTTATAATAATTGAATAATTTGTTGAAGCAAATATATCCTATGAATTCTATATCGATATAAATAATCTAAAAATATTATATTTAATTCTCATACATTATTCTGATGTTGTATAATTTTCTATGTTAAATATCATTTTAATTTTCTAATATTATATTGTAGATGTTCCATATTAATTGAATTTACTAATTCTAATTCTCTTCCTATAGTCGTATTTTATTTTCTAAATTTGTTACAGAATATTATAGCTTCTATTTATTTATTACTTGGTTACTTTAGTTCACTTTTCGTTCTAAATTTTTTCAATTACTGAAATATGTTTAATTCTTTCTGACTGTGTTCCATTTATCATTCTTTGTTCTTGATGTATTGATGATCGATTAGGTTATATTTTAACTATTTTAATGATACTTCTAATTAGATTAGCAATTTAAATATATCTTCTAATATTATAAATATTTATTATTATATTCTATATAATTATTCTTCTTCTTGATATTTGTTTATTATTTTTACTAATTTATCTATTTTATTGACAATTTTGATTAGTCATTTTAGTAATATTATGTTTAGAAGGTTTTTTAATTTCTATATTAGATAAAAACTTGTTGAAATATAGTTTTGGAAGTTTTTAAAAGTTTTGGGTACAAAAAAGTAATTAAAATTTTCGGTTGGATGGAAAACTAGACGGATGCACATTTTGGCGACTTTAATGGTACCCGACGCCCTATTCAAACTTAAGTGATATGTCTGCCCCAATTCTCAAACTTAAGTGGTACTCGAGATATTTTACCCTTGTTTTCCCATAGCTACCCATAAATTGTGAAATGATTTTTTCACATGAAAATGGAATGACAAGTGAACACGTTTTTTCATTTATGTTTCATGATTTATATTGTGACAACAAAAAATAAGAAAAACGAAATGGCAAGTGAACGGGCATGAGTGCATGACGTTGCGTCCATCTTGCGGGCGTAATAGAGTTGATTTATCATTTATAGATATAGTCCTTGTAATATAGTATGTTTGTACCTTGGGTTATAATTTAAATACACACGATTCTCATAAACCTTGCAGCCAATATATCGAATTTTGTTCTCAGCCTTGAGAAACCAATACGTTTCGATTTTGACGTTTCGATTTTCTGAAACGCGTTCCCTTTCGATTTCTCAAACGGTAAGCAAAGCGCGATAAATTGCCGTGATGGACATGTCGGCGATATAGCACGAGATGCAATAAACATTACGAGATTAGAGGATATTTTGTGCTTAATATCCCGAAACGGCTGTCCCCAAAATTTCCCCTGGCTGACTCTGCCCTAATTTCCCCAAATCCTGAATCCTTTCAGAGTATATTATCACCCGCCATCTCCAAATTTCGGTTCTCTCTTTCGGCATATTCTTTCCTCCCAGGGAGGACGAAACCTTTTCTTGCACGGAGTAGCTTCCTTCCGTCGATCGATCAGGCTAAGCGACTGTTAAAATTTGGAGATTCACATCGGTGGTTGAACCAGATAGAGAGAAGTCGACGAGCACCAGCCGCCGCCAACAATGGGAGTTCCCGCGTTCTACCGTTGGCTGGCCGAGAAGTATCCGATGGTCGTGGTGGACGTAGTCGAAGAAGAGCCGGTCGAGATCGAAGGCGTGAAGATTCCCGTCGACACCAGCAGGCCCAACCCCAACGAAATCGAGTACGACAATTTGTACCTCGACATGAATGGGATTATCCATCCCTGCTTCCATCCCGAGGATAGGGTACAGACTTGCTTCTACTTTTCCCCGTTCAATTCGTCAAATTTAGATTTAGTTCCGCTTCGTGCTATAGTTTGGGATTGCATTGGCTTCTTCTGAGGGATGGATGTTGAATGGGATGTTTTTTTTTTTTTTTTGTGGTTTGTGCAGCCGTCGCCGACTTCTTTTGATGAAGTGTTCCAGTGCATATTCGACTACATTGATAGGCTATTCGTGATGGTGAGGCCCAGGAAGTTGCTGTACATGGCAATTGGTGAGTGCAGTTTTTCACTTTCTGTTTCTCTCTGTACTTCTTAATGTGGGGTGTGAATGAAGGCACTGATGTTGTTTGGTCTGGTGCTGATGGGCAGATGGGGTTGCTCCTCGTGCAAAAATGAATCAGCAGCGGTCTAGGCGTTTTAGGGCTGCTAAAGATGCTGCCGATGCGGTATGAGCTGCACTCTTATGTAGTGTTATTGTGTAATTATTTGGAGTTTGCGATTTAGTAAATGTAGTACATGCAACTATGGGCTGTATCAAGTTCGTTTATTACATCGAAGTTGTGTCCAAGGATGAGGGATTTGGGGATTTCAAGTATTAGGCTGTTGATGCTGTTGTTGATCTAGATTAATGCATGCTTTCCTTTTTCATCTTAGGCATGGAATACGTGACAGTGAAAGACACTTTCTTTCTTTTTCTTCTGGCAGGCAGCAGAAGAAGTTAAGCTCAGAGAAGAGTTTGAGAGGGAGGGAAGGACGCTTCCTCCTAAGGAGGAGTCTCAAACCTTTGATTCAAATGTCATTACTCCTGGAACTCCATTTATGGCAGTTCTCTCTGTTGCATTGCAGTATTATGTTCATTTAAGACTCAACAATGATCCTGGATGGAAGAATATTAAGGTATGGCATTCTCTTTATCTATCTGTGACGATCCATAACTGTTTATGTGATTTCATTCGAATATAGTGGATGATTGTGAATTTTTGGTTGGAAGGTTATTCTTTCGGATGCAAATGTTCCTGGTGAAGGAGAACACAAGATTATGTCTTATATACGTCTGCAAAGAAATCTTCCTGGTCATGATCCAAATACACGCCACTGCCTGTATGGGCTGGTATACTTCTGTCGTTCGTCTGAAGGCTTAAAAGTTGAAATCTTTTCATCATTTCTATGAGTGCTAATGTGTTTTTTTGTTTTGTTTCCGCTAGGATGCTGATCTAATTATGCTGGGACTGGCTACACATGAAGTTCATTTCTCGATTCTTAGAGAGGTTAGCGTCTGGTTTGTGGATAGATTTCATTTTCATCGACGACTGAATGTTGCAACCATATATGTTGCTTCATGATTTATCCTGATAGGGGCACTTTTACCATATTTTGAGTGGTCTATGAATGAGGAGATAAATTAAATCTGGTTGTGCTTGTAATTTTTATTATTAAGCTTGTTAGTTATATAAAAAAATGCAGGAGTTTCATTTTTATCCGTTCTGTTAACTGCCGAAGACTTGCCACTTCTATTGTATGTTTACTCCTCACTGTTACTTCTTAGGTTGTGTTCACTCCGGGACAAGACAAATGTTTTATATGTGGTCAAATGGGTCATTTTGCTTCAAATTGTGAGGGAAAGGCAAAGAAGAAGGCTGGTGAATTCGATGAGAAAGGTGAAGCTGCTGTACCTAAAAAGCCATATCAGGTACTGTTTCTCCGAATGTTAAATACTACATCTTCTGCTAAGCCATACATAATGAAAATAACCTTCAGTTCTCCATTTTTTGTGCAGTTTTTGCATATATGGATTCTGAGAGAGTATCTGGAATATGAAATGCAAATCCCCAATCCTCCATTTGAGATTGATTTGGAGCGAGTCGTGGATGATTTCATCTTTATATGTTTCTTTGTTGGAAATGATTTCCTGCCACATATGCCGACTCTAGAGATTCGTGAGGTTTGTCTTCTCTTTTAAATTTGTCTGGAAGCTATTCAATCGTGCTTGCTTTTCGAACACCGTGAATTAAGCTTTCGGATTGCGGGTTTTGTGCATTCGTGGCAGGGAGGTTTTGGTTAAGGAAGAAATATGTTGTGTTGTCATGTTTTGTATATTTGTGAACATCTAGCATAACATCTCCAAGAACTGTAATCATTTTTGTCTTTTGTTAATAAGGCATGTACAACGGTGACACAAAAGACAGCATCAGGTTTTTGAAATGATGTGCTGTGAGGTTACATGGTTATGGACGATTAAAGTCACATTTGTCCCTAGGTAACTGGATTAGATGTTATGGAAAACTTGAACTTTCTTCCATTGTCAGGGTGCCATCAATTTGCTGATTGCCGTGTACAAGAAGGAATTCAAGTCAATGGGTGGATATCTGACTGATGGTAGTAAGGTGCGTGAAAAATTTGTGATGCAGTTGCTGACGCGGTTGGATATCAGGTCGCTCTTGCTTTGAAGATTTGTCTAATGTCGCTTGTTCTCTTTCCAGCCAAATTTAAGTAGGGTGGAACATTTTATTCAAGCAGTAGGATCATTTGAAGATCAGATATTTCAGAAAAGAGCCCGGTTACAGCAGGTATTCATTGTGCAGATTGTTCCTTCTTTTTGTTGTTTTTGGTGTGCGGATTTGTTGTCTGGAGGTGTAGTGATTCAATGACTTGTCTAGGCCTTGTTATACTCCTTATCTGCTGTGTTTGAGTAGTCTATTGTTGAGAAATGCAAGACGGGAGATGTAGAATTCCTTTGTGTTGAGAAATGCTTATGGAAGATAGTTTTTTTACGAAGATTTGTTGACCTTCGGTATGTTCATGTCTTGCAGCGTCAGACTGAAAGAATCAGACGGGAGAAGGCGCAGGTGAAAAGAGGCGATGATGCTGCACCTTCAGTTCAACCTGAGTCTTTGGTTCCAGTTCATAGATTTCATGGTTCTCGTCTAGCATCAGCTCCACTTCCATCACCGTATGAGCGAAGCTCTGGAAGTTCAAACGGGGATACTAAAAGGAAACATTCTGGGCCTTCTAATGATGAAGGATCCCCTGGTCGAGCTCATAAAGTTGCCCGGTTGTCTTCAGTAGCCAATATTGGTGCTGCCATTGTGGAAGCTGAGAATAGCCTGGAAACAGATGTATGTTTCTGCTTTAGAGAGGCAGATCAATGGATTCTGACCCTTTCGGCCATTCTTAAAGACTCATAATCTATGTTCTTGCCTTGATTTGGTTAAGAATCCATTGATTTACTCCATTTGTTATTTTGGTGGAAATTAACTTTATGTTGTTCATTGACATCAGTTGTCATATTGACAATTTCCTCTATTTTTTTGCTTCAGGTACAAGACAACAAAGATGATCTCAAAACCAAGTTGAAGGAGTTACTTCGTGAGAAATCTGATGTTTTTAACACAGAAAATGGAGGAGATGACAAGGTTTTTATTTTGTTGCACTAGCTAATACTCCTTGTCATAATTTTATAATTATCAGAGGATGACATGGAAATGGGCTGCTGGCTATGTGTTGAAGCTTAATAATTATTATGGTTATATTCCATGTGGCAACATTACTTGCTGTTGTGTTTTACGCATTATGAAAGCTGGGTGTGCTTGTCCAATTTGTTCTGGTGTCCAGGATTTCATGCAACACTTCTCTAATTTTGGTATCTGTTGCCCAGATTAAACTTGGTGAGCCTGGATGGAAGGAGAGGTACTATGAAGAGAAATTTTCTGCCCAAACGCTCGATGAACTTGAAAATGTTCGAAGAGATGTTGTAAGTTGTAGAGAAATTCACTGCCATTAAGTGTTCATTTTTTTATTATTATGAATATAATTGCTAACTCTTGGCTATTTGGTATCCAATGGTCTAGGTTTTAAAGTATGTGGAAGGTCTATGTTGGGTAATGCATTATTATTACGAAGGAGTTTGTTCATGGCGCTGGTAAGATTATATTTCTTCCCTATCCAGGCATATTAGTTGTTTCTCGTCTTCTGGTTTCATTGATGCTAACTTATTTACTATGAGCTATGTTAGCACTGTATAAGAGATACATTGTTCCATGGTTATCTTAAATTCAGATCTTTTTCATATATTTTATAGTTTGTTCCCTTTTGATTTTCAGGTTCTTTCCTTATCATTATGCACCCTTTGCTTCTGATCTCAAGGATCTCGGTCAGTTGGACATCACATTTGATATGGGTTCTCCTTTCAAGCCATTCAACCAGCTGTTGGGAGTTTTTCCTGCTGCAAGGTGCATTGCGACTGTACTTTTCTATAGTAATTTTCTTTATGTATAAGCACGTATTAACCACGTGCAAGAACTAACTGTGGAATGCTTTTTGTAGTGCCCATGCTCTTCCTGTAGAGTACAGAAAATTAATGTCAGATCCAACCTCACCTATTATCGATTTTTACCCAGTTGGTAAGTTCTTTTTAACTGATAATGAAGCCATATGTTTCGTTAATATCTACTTGTTGGGATAACATAAACTTGTATCTATGACCCAGATTTCGAAGTTGACATGAATGGGAAACGATATGCCTGGCAGGTAAGTTTTCTTTCTTACCTTTCACCTTTTCCACCCTTAATCTCACATTGCTCAGTCTGTCAATTCTTAGTTTGTTAGATTTCTGACCCATTTATTCTTGGCTTTGACCCTCATAAGGGTATTGCGAAACTCCCATTTATCGATGAGACTCGACTTCTTGCAGAGGTTGAGAAGGTTGAGCAAACTTTAACGGTACGGTCTTGTGACTTCTCCTTCCTCTGTGCAAATTTGTATGTTGGACTAAAACAATGGGGTTTTATTTTTGGGTATGAAATGTAATGTAGGATGAGGAAGCAAGGAGGAACAGTTTTATGTTTGACATGCTTTTCGTTTCTTCATCTCACACCCTGGCCCAATGTATATACTTGCTCGACAATAAATCAAAGCAAATGACAAATAATGAGAGGATTGGAATCAAGGAATGCATCAACCCAGAATTGAGGTCTTTATCTCATTATTGTAATATCTTCTGATTGCGTACTGCAAATATTGTGATCTTCATGGAAAAATTTCTGATTTTATTTAGGCCTACATGCAGTGATGGGATGAATGGCTATATCTCCCCTTGTGCTGGAGATACTCACCCTCCAGTGTTTAGGTCTCCAGTCACTGGCATGGAAGACATATTGGACAACGAAGTCATGTAAAGCTTAGACACTCACATTACAGATCAGTACTCTTTACCGTGAACTTGCCATAACTGCTAACCGCTACTCTCTGCTGTCTTCCTACTTTTCTCCAGATGTGCTATTTACAGACTACCTGATCCCCATAAACACATCACTCGACCTCCTCCTGGTGTCACATTCCCCAAAAGGGTATATTATGTGCATTTCATTTTCCCGGTATCCATTTTGCTTTGCTTGCCTGAGCTAAGTTGACTTCATGCCCTATCTTGTCTAGATTGTGAGCTTGCAAGACATGAAACCTGATCCGGTTCTGTGGCACGAAGACTCTGGGAGAAGGCCTTATGACAGGTAGGTAGTTTCTATCACAATCTCATTAAAACAGCCAAACCACTATTGGTCAACTACCTCATTTGGTTATTGCACTCTTCCTGACATTGTTGATTCTGAACCTTCTTGTATGTCTATGATAAATATTAAAAAAAAAAAAACGCTGTCTCTTCCACGTGTGACGAATGTCTTTTCTTTCAGGCATAACAATAGTAATAATAATAGCAATGGAAACTACTCTGGCCGCCATAACAATAACAACAACGGGAACATATCTGGCCGCCATCTCGGCGAGGCGTCTCATCGGCTTGTCACCAATAGTTTGCAGATGAACAGACAGGGAAACCAATACAACAACCATGCACAACATGGTCGTGCACAATCTTATGATGCTACGCCATCATATGCTCCTCGAAACTCATCCTACTCGAATGGATCTCATCATGAATATTCACATTCTAGGCATCAGCAGTCTACACCTCCTTATCAACAAAGGTATGATCAGTCTCGTGGGTCCAACCCCCGGTATGGAGGCTCTCGATCTTCATATGAGAGAGAGGACCACGGTGGAGGATATTATCCACAAGGCGGGTTTCATCAGCAAGGCAACCCCCGTGGAGGTGGATATGTTCCTCAGCCAGTAGTATCCCCGCCGAATGGCGGTGGTTATGATGCATACCAGAGTCGCCAGCCAGCAGGCACACAGTGGGGCGGCGCTCCAGCTGCACCACCAGTCAACCAGGCCGTTCCTTATGGATACGGTCACCACCATCATCAACAGCATGCTGGTGGAAACAGGTTTGCTGCCTTGGACCATAGATCAAACCGAGTGCCACCACCACACCATGCAAGAACTCATCACGAACAGCCGCCGCCTCCTGGAGCTGAAAATAGGAGGCAACAGTACCCGCCACACAATGCTGCCCCTCGCAGGCCAGCACCCCCACCCGGGTACAGCAGGCGGTAGGAAAATACGGCAATGGCGTTTGTGATTCCAATGCTGTAATGTCCCCTCCTTTTTTTTTTTCTTCCTTAAGTTTTGGTTGCAGTCTTTTAGTTATGGTCTTGCTACATTTGTTGTGTATTATTGTTGTACCCCCAAAAACTCAGAATAAGCAGGTGTCGAAGGACGTCATTCATTTGGGTTTAGTGCATCTGCTATACTTTGATGTTCAATATCTTCATAATCAGATATTAATGATTAGTATAGACTAAAGAGATTGTCTTTTGTCCCTGGTTTTTATATCTAATTATCATCATTTGGAAGAGAAAAGGATCACCTCTTTCCTTGCATCTTGCTGCTATTGAATGGTAAAGAACCCAGATGCTAGCTAAGCTAACCACTGCCCTACAATTGGAGCTTCATGCAGCTAGCTAGGGTCAGCCAGCCATTATCTTGGAATGTGGACATGTTTTTGCCTCAACTTTTATGGCAAAAACCAACCAGAGACTAGCTAGTGCTTCCCCCTTTGGTCATTTCATCATCATAACAGACAGACAGCCAGCCAGCCAGCAGGTAAGGTTGGAGGGGAGTCGCCATCCAAATTTCTTGCCCGCACGAATGATCATAAATTATTTATATGCATGTTCAACAGCAAAAAAAATGGAAGAATGGATCATGATGACAATTGACAACCATAAAATAAATGTGATCCCTACCACATGCGCGTTAACAAGAAGGGCTTTCACCTCTGCCTCGATCGATCTGAGAAGAGCATATGAGAGTGTGAATACTCTTTTCCTTCACAAGTTGATGTTTGTCTAATTGATGAAATTAAATTGTTGACAAAGCAAAAAAGAGGGACGACAGATAGAATCTACACAGATACAATAGCAAGGGACAAAGTTGGCGAATGGTGATTGACACTTTTGTGTGTAATTTAAGTGTAGGCGGCAGAAATGAGTATGAATGAGCTGTACGTGCATGGGCAAGCTAGCTAGCTAGGCTACTTTGTATATGATTTGATATTTATGTTGCTCAGTTGCTGTCCTGATGTGACAAGTTAAAGTTCATAAGGTATCCCCACGTAATATCAACCCGGTTACGGTGCCACCACGTGATCACGGGGCGTATGATAACGTTGAATCTAGCACGAGCGATTCATGATTATTGAATAATCGTCCACCTCCGATTAAGTACATGTGAATATGTGTTCAGAATGCATCGTTGAGAACAATAATTTTTCCGCTCCACACGTCTCCTATCCTATTGCACTCAAAGGAGCCTTGGATCGGGGTTTTAGACCTAAGTAAAGGTTACTTTCTTAGGATTGTCCTCTATTACCTTAAAGATTATAGATGGTTATCAATAAATTAAATTTCAGAGTTAGCTTCTCAATTATGCTCTCTCTATATAAAATCCCTTTTATGGTTTTGTTAGTGTACAAGTTACCATTGTTAAGGGTAGTTGTGACGGTCATGGTGATTGGACGTGTTGGACGTGAATCACATGCAATACACCCTTTTCATATATAATAGATAATACACTAACTAATAACTTTGCTCATTAATAAGAACTAGTTGTTTATTATTATTATTATTATTATTATTAATTGGTGATTGATTATGGCATCGTTTGATTCTCATATGGCGAGGGCTCTAAGCCACGAGGCTAAATTCAAGTCTCACATTTGAAAAAAATAAAACCAATCCAAAAGTACTATATAATCCTTGCAATTAAAAAATTAACCCAATCTGGATGCAATGTTGTTATCTTGTTGATCATGATTGATTAACTTGATTTGACAAGACAAGAAAAGAGAGTTTGATTGGCTAATACACAAGGAGTTATCACTAAAGTGATTACCATTACATGAAAATGACAATGTACGTAATTTGTTGTATGACTAAGATATATAATTAATAATCATCGAGACCTATGATATGGTTGGTGGTGGTGAACAGGATCAAGTTAACAATAATGGGTGCTATATTGTCAAAAAAAATCATAATGCAAAGGAAGCTCACAACCAACAAGGTTCCAAATGATCCCTAGACTCGAACCAAAAAGACAACACTTCACTTCAAGAAAACAGAAGATGGGGAATGGAATGAAGGAAGCCTAATCAGCCGCACGTGTGCAGCAGCAAAGCAACAGCTTAGATTGGTCGGCTGATAGTTGGTAGGTTATACCATTGATCTCGATTCCTAGCTGGCACGTGTGACCCTCCCATAATCCGAATAATTGCATGCGCTGAAAAGTGGGACATGATCGAGTACACTGGGGATGGGATCAGATGGTGGTTAATTATAACAGAACAGTCAATTCGTCTAAGGGTATGGTGGTTAATTATAACAGAACAGTCAATTCGTCTAAGGGTACGACATGTTTGTGAAAAAATCGGTTAATATCGTAACTCGAGTTGTTTTTTTAAAATCATTCGATCTCAATAATTTGAATTAGTAGTAGAGGTTTCATAATGAATTATATATTATTTACTAAAATTATTAAGATTGTTTCATGGTCTTATGTCTTAAAAGAACCAGCTCGTCAATCTTATACTACTTATTCACTACATGGACATAGTGAAGCTACAAGTCACATGTTAGACTAAGATGCAGTAACTTTTTTTTTTAAATTACTTGTTAGTTCAAGTTATTATTTTATTACGAACTCATACTATCGGTATCTATGATTTTTTTCCAGACAGGAAGTTAAATAAATGAGTAGTGACTAGTGAACCAAGTGGTTGTAATTTATATTTATGTAAAAATAGAAAACATAAAAGGGCCCAATCGGGTTCGAACTGATGACCTCTTGATCTGCAGTCAAATGCTCTACCACTGAGCTATAGACCCTTTTGATAAAATAATATTAATTATTTATATGTGAATCATTATAATTTTTATAACTTAGTCAATTATTCAGAACTTCAAATTAATTTTCTCTTTTGATGATTGAGGTGTATATATCAACACAGTGACTCAACTAAATATAAAATAATGTTGCTCGATTAACGTTTCTTCAAACATTGTTCGAACGAGATTGTTTTATGCATACAAATGAATCAACATCACTATTACTTCCTACTCGTATGGAGATTACTTGATAGCTCCACGACTACAACTAGAAAATATAGAGGAACCTTTGTAGTAGAAGGTCTCTTTTTTTTTTTGGTAGAAAATGGGACGCTAAAAGGGCGCCCCTGCCTGCTACTTAAATTAAACGATTTTGGGCAATGCCCATAGTGTCATACAAGATCCAGAACGAAAGGCCAGGATCGTCAATCCTGAAATCATGGAAACCTATGCTTACAAGGTGGCCCTTATTGGCCAAGTAGTCTGTAGCCTTGTTGCATTCTCTGTAGGTGTGGGAAATCTTAACTTCCCAGTTTTGTTGAACCAGCTCCCTGAATTGTTGGACTAGGTTGAAATACCTATGATCCCTCTGATCTGGAGCCGTGAGGATGTTGATGGCAGTGGTAGAATCCAAATACAGAAGGACCTTGCGAAAGCCTTCCTTCCACGCCACCTGGAGGCCGCGAATCGCCCCTTTGATCTCGGCCCTGGTGATAGTACAAATGCCCAGGTTTTCGACAAATGCCCCAATACACCTTCCTGTCCAGTCCCGGATCAGGCCTCCAGCTGCAGCAGTCGAATTCGGCTGCTTCACCGACCCATCAATATGAACACTTATCCACTCCATCGGCGGCGGACTCCATGCGAGCGGCTGGGAAGATTTGATGTGGAGTTGCACATTAGCCGCCTTATCATTCATTTGAGCATTGCGTATCGTTCTCGTCCAGCAGGTGATCCGATGCGCCAGCACATGGTTTTCTTGATTCAAGTTGTGGAAGATCCTTTCATTGCGCCGTTTCCAGAGGTACCAAGCAGTTACACCAAACAGGAGACCCTCCTGATCCTTGCCAAGGTGGACCTCCATCCATTCTGTAAAACCAAGGCCACAAGTAAGCAAATTGTTATGAATTCCTAGCATTTGCCATACCTGTCGTGAGTTTGGGCAAAGTCGCAGGATATGTTCAGCTGACTCTGGCCCTTCATTGCAAGCTGTGCAAGTATCATCATTAGTTAATTTCCGCCGTTTACGCTCCACATTTGTCATCAATCTGTCGTGGAAGGCTAGCCAGAGAAAGTGCTTTATCCGGTTTGGCCCGTCCCATCTCCATAGCCGCTTCCAAGATGGTTTGGTGGATTCCGCGCTCGTTCTATCATCTGCGTCGCCAATCCAATCCGTGGCAGCATAGTAAGCGGAGCGAAGCTTGAACTTTCCATCCGGTTCCATCCCCCAGGCTGTGATGTCCTCTCCCGATTCAGCAACCGGCGGGTCAGTACCTGCAATCAAAGCAGTAAGATGATGGGTTAGATGGGGTTCGATTTTCTCCCAATTCCACTCACCTGCATTGTTTGTCATGTCCGCCACCGTGGCCTGCCAGTTGATGTCTTCCTCGCCACTCTTAACATGGTCACGCAGCTTGAGACCTTCCACTATCCAGGGGTGTGTCCAGAACTGGACATTCTGACCTCCACGAATATCCCACACGATTCGCTCCTTCACAATCGGCCAGGTATCCACAATCCCCTTCCACAATCTCGAGTAACTACTTTTTTTCATCACCATGTCACCCGTAGCATTCATCTTGAAATATTTCCCTTGCATCACCCGAATCCATAGGCCGTTGGACTTGTTCAGGAAAGCCCACCCCAGCTTCATAAGGTATGCGATATTGACTGCCCTGGCCGATCGTAGGCCCAATCCTCCTTCCTCCTTCGGTTTGCAAATGGTCTCCCATTTCACCAAGTGAGCCTTGTAATGTCCTTCATCCGCACCCCAGACAAACGCACGAACTTTCCTATCAATGGCATCACATAATGATATGGGAAGAACTGACGTCTGCATAACATAGTTAGGGAGAGCATTAAGAACCGAAATCGCCAGAGTAACCCGCCCTGCCAACGAAAGGCTTCTGGCCTTCCATCCCGCTAGGCGTTGATCAACCTTTTCTAAAATGTACTTGTAGGTGTCTTTGGTGACTCTGCCGTGCACCACCGGCACTCCCAAGTATCTACCAAGGTTATTCGTGGGCTGCATTCCCAGAGTGTCACTGATCGATTTCTTCAGTTGCCCCCTGGTATTCTTGGAGAAAAAGACACACGACTTGTCTTTATTAACTTGTTCCCCGGAGGCTTCACAGAACCGATTCAGACAGGCCAGAATTTCCTCCCCTTGCTTCTGGTTCGCCTCAGCAAACAGCACCAGGTCATCTGCAAAAAATAAATGGGTGAGCGGAGGACCATCCTTAGATAAGAAAATCGGTTTCCAAGCTTTCCTATTAATAGAATCCTTAATGCAGTGATTCAGTCTCTCAATGCAAAGCGTAAACAAGTAGGGAGAGAGAGGACATCCCTGCCGAAGACCCCTAGATGGTTGAAAAGATTCCGTGAAGCCACCATTCCACATGACCTGGAAACGAGCAGTAGTCACGCATGCCATAAGAAGTTTGACAAAATCCATTGGTAAACCTGTCGCTATAAGCGTCGCCTCCAGGAACTTCCAATTGATCCGGTCATAGGCCTTGGCGAGATCAATTTTCAATATCATACTTCCTTTAGTACCAGATCTGAGCGATAAAGTATGAACCACTTCTTGCAGGATGATGATATTATCTGTGATGTGTCTTTTGGGGACGAAGCTCGACTGGTTCTGATCAATCAGCTGAGGCGTGAATTCTTTGAGCCTATTAGCAAGGCATTTGGCCACGACCTTGTAGCTCACGTTGCAGAGACCAATAGGGCGGAACTGAGTTATTAGCTTCGGGAAGTCAACCTTGGGCAGCAGCACTAGAAGAGTGTCATTGCACATTCTGATTCGGTCGGGATTCCTGAAACAAGCAACCAAATGATCATAGAAATCTGCTCCAACATTATTCCAACTCTTTTGAAAGAAAGCAGCATGAAAACCGTCCTTCCCAGGGGCTTTCATCCCTCCCATTTCATTGATTATTCTCCGAGTCTCTTCCATTGATGGGGCATCAGCTAGGTGAGATGTCATAGCTTCTGGAACGACATTGAAGCAAGCTGGGATAAGTTGTTGTCCAGTGCAGTCATCAGAAAATAACTTCACATAGAACTCCCGTGCAATGCCTCTAAGCTGGTCCGGATCGTCCACCCACGTCCCGTCAGCAACCTGAAGCTTGGTTATTCTGTTTTTGCTCCGTCTAGTGAGAGCAACAGTGTGGAAATAGCGGGTATTTATGTCGCCATTTAGAATCTGGTTAGTCCGAGCTTTTTGGAGCCATAGCAATTCTTCCTGCCATAGCGTCTGTTCCAGCTCTTCTCGGACAAGACTCTCTTTACGCAAGGAAAAAGCAGAGGCTGAATTCTCGTTTTGGACTTCCAATCGCGCTAGCCTCTTAGTCAGCTTGGCTTTCCTGTAAAAGATATTACCGAAGATTTCCTTATTCCATCGAGTGAGGTGGACCTGAAGCTCCTGCAAAGACAAAAGACAATCCCTTCCCCGGTGCCACGAGGCTTCAAGTGTAGGAAAGAAATCTTCGTGAGATAACCAAGGCACAAGGAAACGAAAGGGTCTTACCTGTCGCGGCGGGGCATGGTCATTGTTGCTCTTAACAAGGATAGGTCTATGGTCAGAACGGAGTTTAGGTAGATGGTCCGACAGAGTATCTGGAAACGTCCGGATCCACTCCTGGTTACACAAAGCCCTGTCAAGACGCTGAGACAACTTTCCATTGCTCCAGGTAAACTTCGGCCCATTGATCCCCACATCAATAAGTCCACAATCCCGAATGCAGGCGTTAAAATTGGCGGTCCTTTGGGGATTAAACTTTGCTCCACCTTTACGCTCTGACGGACAAGTGATGGAGTTGAAATCACCCGCAAGCAACCAAGGTTGAGAGATATTCTGCTCCAACCGGCGGATTGCAGCCCAAAGAGGTAGTCTATCATGATCATTAGGCTTAGCATAAACTGCAGTCAAAAGGACAGAGGTGCTGTTCTGCGCAATACAACTAAAATGCAAGAATTGAGAGTCGCGGTCCAACTCCGTAATTGAGAAATCAGCCTCCCTCCACAAGACCCAAATTCCACCAGCAAACCCACTAGCATCCACACAAAGGTGCTTATCAAACCCCATAAGACAAGATTAGGCTTATGAGTTACCACATACTCTTTAAACGTCGAAAGGAATTTTGGGTGTTTAGCCCCCCGGCAATTCCAGCTAAAGATCTTAAACATAATGGAGAAAAGAGAGGAGGAGAGCACACGAAACTTCCCTGACCCAAATTATCAGCCACGGCATCAACATGTCCCCTCCGGGATCGGGGTGCTGTTAGCCACGGGGGTTTCCATCTGGTTATCCGCCAGATTTGTTGCAGTCTCCGTCATCAGATCATCATCTTTCTCGGTCCTCCCATCCTTCCCTTCCTCCGCAGATAGCTTTTTGGTTTGGGAGACGAGCTCCTCCACCGCCTGCCTAGGAAGCGAAACTTTTTTCTTCTGTTTGGTCCGAATTCCATGGCTGGAAGCTGATGTCGGTCCCTGTCCCTTCTTCATAACTCGTAGTTGAGTTGAATTCTTGTTCATTTGGGAAGATTTAGTGCGCCTAGGCCATTTGCTGTAGTGCCTCCTGACAGACACACTTTCGATAGGGACTTCTGTCGGCTGCGAGGAGCAAGAGTGGGCATTGGACGGGTTAACTGAGATAGGGGCCGATTGGGGTTCCTGGGCTGGGCCTTCGTTTAGGGTCCTTTTGGGCTGATTACCATGCTCTTCACTAATAACCTGTTGGTCCATTACCATCGCATCAGCGGACAGCCCATCCTTGGTTTCGCTTGGGCTCGGCCCAACTACCCGCCAAACTTGAGAATGGCTTGGCTTCTTGGTCTCCTTAACTACAGAGCCGTTGTCAAGAGCTGCTTTCCCCTTATTCAGACTATTATTGCCTTTTATCTCCTCGCCCTTCTGCTCCTCCTTTCCTTTTCTTGTCCTTGGCTCCACCCCATTTCCTTTCCCGTTCATTTTGTTTTGTGAAGCCTTTGTTGCTGACTTTCCTAATCCATCTCCTTTTCCCGTTGTACTTGCTGGAGTCGTGGCCTGATTAACGGAAGCCTTCCTTGTATGGTTGCGGGATTTCCGCACAACTTGCATCCAGGGGCCGTATCCCGTCGGAGGTTCCGTCGGAGAATTTTCCGGTGAGCTCAACTGAACGGATGTGGACGACGGTAAAACAGTCGCCGGTACATGAAGATTCTTGGGGCAGGCCTGCTCCGAGTGCCCAATACGGCCGCACTCAAAACAAACTTCTGGGAGATTCTCATACACCACCTGCTGCCAAAAGCCATCCAGTCTGATGCGGGTTTGAAGAGGTTTCGACATGTCAAGCTCCACATCAATTCTTGCAAACTTTCCACGCTCAAGGTGTTCCGTGTGGTAATCCAGTTTTACAGTTCTGCCTAGCAAGTTCCCCAGAGCAAACAACACTTCCCGGTGGTAGAAATGGACAGGAAGTTCAGGTAGCTGAACCCAGGCCACCACTGACCGATGAATCTTTTCTGAGGTGCGGAAGTTAGGTGACCACTGGTGAACGATCAAGTAGTGATCTAAGATCACCCACGGTCCCCCAGTGAGGGCATGGAGATAGTCATGTTCATTGTTGAAATTAACCAGGAAAGTGGAATTGTTGAGGTCCATAACATCCATAGTTCCGCTGGGTCTCCACTTCCAGCGAAGTTGTGAGCATAAATATTGGTACGAGACTGATCGCCCCAGTAGCCGGACTACTAAGGTGCGCTTCCATGGGATACAGAGGCGTTCTTTGAGTTGTGCAGAGACTTTGAGCTCAGGCTCTCCCTGAAAGGATCCCGCCTCTAAATCATGTTCGCCGATGAAGACCCATTGGTTGCCTTTGGGTGATGACGGCGTCGGAGCCCCTGCTAACGCTGACTTGTAGCTTTGCTGTGCGGGGGGTGAGGCGCCTTGAATACTCGGGGACGGGGGAGAGGGCTGCACAGAGAGAGGATCCGGTGGGCGTCCTGTCAAGGCCAGGGTCGCCGCCGGAGAGCTTACAGAGTTCGGGGGAAACGAGAGCATCTTCTATTCAAGTCCTCCAATATGATTTCTCTGTTTTAGGGAATTTGTGTCATTCGTAGTAGAAGGTCTCTAGTGCTACTACTACGACAATTGTTCTAGAAAGAAAAGGAAAAAAAAGCGAAAAGCTTAATGATACTAATTGTATGTCTTTACCGATCGAGTAACTTGTTCAAGATTTTATGTGAAGAACTCTGTAACCGCCCTCTGTTTCCTCTTCATGAGAAACAACACCCATGCAATAATCATGATCTCCACTCCTAGTCTCGCTTGTGAGTCAGTTGCTTTTAATTTGTCCACGGTTACAATGCAATTGTTGATCAGATTAATTTTGTGGTTTGCTGTTAGGTAGTCGACATTCCTAAGGTGACTGTCACGACCTTACTCTCGATCGTGCGGCCCTAGCTCTCAATTCCGTTAGAGCGCTAGGCAGCCTTTCTCTCAACTCACTTGAAAGCAAAGAACAAGAACAAAGACAAAGGAAATGGGAGAACTCTCTAGTGTGTATTACTCTCAAAAATGATGGAATGAGTACAAATGAGGGAGATGGCTCCTTATATATGCCTCTCCACATACAAGGCATCAATGCCCCTCATAAAGTCCCTCTACTACATCAATACACCCCATTAAGTCCCCCCATTATGCACTCTATCAATGTCACCATTATGTGACTCATAAGTGCACTATAAAGCTCTACATTATGGTGGAGAATCCTAGGAGCATCTCTATGCTACTAGTCTTCCATGCATGCCACATGTGCTGCTGCCATGTTGTCACCTTGTTGGCGCCATGTCATCTGCCACATGCGCCTTGAATACTTGGGGACGGGGGAGAGGGCTGCACAGAGAGAGGATCCGGTGGGCGTCCTGTCAAGGCCAGGGTCGCCGCCGGAGAGCTTACAGAGTTCGGGGGAAACGAGAGCATCTTCTATTCAAGTCCTCCAATATGATTTCTCTGTTTTAGGGAATTTGTGTCATTCGTAGTAGAAGGTCTCTAGTGCTACTACTACGACAATTGTTCTAGAAAGAAAAAGAAAAAAAAGCGAAAAGCTTAATGATACTAATTGTATGTCTTTACCGATCGAGTAACTTGTTCAAGATTTTATGTGAAGAACTCTGTAACCGCCCTCTGTTTCCTCTTCATGAGAAACAACACCCATGCAATAATCATGATCTCCACTCCTAGTCTCGCTTGTGAGTCAGTTGCTTTTAATTTGTCCACGGTTACAATGCAATTGTTGATCAGATTAATTTTGTGGTTTGCTGTTAGGTAGTCGACATTCCTAAGGTGACCCGTCGAAAGCGATTCGTTTTGGGACATAATTAATTAATTCTGAATTTGGCCTCTAAATGCCTTTAATCTCTCCCCTTTACTTCAGTTAGTCAATCCAATCAACTAATTAATTCATTAATCTTGCTCTTTGATTTTCGAAAGATATTACTAAATTTCTAAAAAAAAAAATATCTCTAAAGGGATTATCTTAGATTCAAGAAAGCGTTAGGCATAAGGTGAGCGTTGAGATTCTGTGTTGCCCCTAGCAAGTTTAGGCGTCACCTAAGCGTGGCTAAGCGTTAGATGTTAACGTAGCAAAATATCTCACACTTGCCCAGCGGCGGATCCAGAACACAGAAGAGCCCTGGGCCGCATTTTATTAGAAAATTAGAACCGTAATAAAATATAATGATTATGGTTTTTTGCAATGTAAATTGTACACGGCTGTATTTTAATTTAGGGAATGCATCAATAATGAAGTCTACATCCATACCAATAGTATACACTGTTTCAAATAAAATACTTGAGCAATCAACGAGAAATTCATTGCTCATTTTTTTGAGCAAATCAGTTCTCACATGTTTCATTGTTAAAAAGGTTCTCTTCGTAGTAGCTGTTGAAACGAGCAGCATCAACACTAGATAAATCATTCGACTAATCAATTTGCATTGTGTGTCCATCCATGCACACCAGCTGCTTTAGTAAATTTGTAAGGGAACAAACCTCATATTTTTTTTAGTCTTTTACGTTTTAAACTTTTTAGTATTTTATGTTTCATTGTTTTTTTAAGACGCATAATCTTTGGGCTAAAATTTCTAGACTAAATTTAGAATAGTGATTTGAATATGTTCAACTTGATAATTTTTCTAGTTAAACCCAATCTTATCATAGAATAACACTGAGTCGAATATCTAAAATCAAAAATTTCATAAGTACTATAGTAACTACCGATCCAAAGGAGGGCTGGGCCGGGGCCTGGGGTGGCCACCCCCTGGATCCGCCAGTGCACTTGCCTAAAATCATAAGTGTTTTAACCAATATCATCACATCTACCTCTCATTTATAAACTTTCCTCAACAACACATGGTAAAACATAATACATAGTATGGAGAAATAAGTAAGGAAGAAGAAGCTTGAAAATAATGAAAGGGATTAAGAGCGAAGAAGCACAAAAAGGAAAGAAGAAGCTACTCTAAAGTTGACTGTCTCTAATTATATCTTAGTCTAACTATAAGAAATCAAGACCGTACTCATTAGTAACATATCAAAAGATAGGAAAAAAATACCGTTACATCATTTTGAGGTACAACTCAATGCTGGTCATATTAAGATGAATTTGAGTGACAAAGCCAACAAGTTAGCAGTCTACTATCGTTTATTTATTTTGCAAGTGATGTTAGAGCGCACTCTACTCTCCTTTAAAAACTTGTTGATCTTAATAATTTTGTTAATATATTTCTTTTTTGACAAAAGATAATCATATATTGATATAATCAGATCGATAATTACATCCTGGAATTCAGCCAGGCCTGAAAGTCAAAATAACGACATGTAGTCGGGAACAAAGACAGGGCCTGTCTAGCTACACTATGAGCTACCCTATTGCTACCTTCGAACCTCATTGACACAAAACCCTGCATTATACACCAGCTGATCGCTTCGCGCAGGGTAAGAACTTCCGCCACCATTGGGTCATCTAGCCGAGGGAACTGAATACCCGTCGCCCAGACGGTCTCGCCTCCCTCATTCATGAGAACAAAGCCTCCTGCCGAGTGAGACCCTGCGCGGACTTCTCCATCCCAACGGCACACAGGCCCCTCCGCCCCTCCCAACCCCCCCAAACCCGTACTAGGGGGCGCCAGCGAGGGGCGCCGGGGATCCTTAGGTAAGGTCAACCATTCCCCAATTTGCTGGTGATACTGCCACATAAGAGCATGGATACCAAATTGCTTCCCATCAAAGACCACCCAGTTACGGGATCGCCAAATCCTCCATAGGATAGCAATAACTTCCATGACCTACGAAGGTTGGTGCAAGATGGCCAGCAACTTCTTCATAAACAACGGGAATGTATGCCGAGGCAAGCCCTCCCCAAGATGATCCAGATTAGACTGAGTCCACAGGGCCCTGGCCACCGGACAATCAAGGAAAAGATGCTCCATCGTTTCCGATGAGGCCCAACACACAGGACACCGGGCAAAAACATCAATTTTCCTCTCAATTAGCGCCTCAGTAGTCGGCAGAATTCTGTTCAAAAGTTGCCAGGCAAAAATCTTCAATTTCGGGGGGATATTGGCTTCCCAGAGACGGATCCAACTAGCTTTGTCCATCCAACTAACCTGTGATCGCCACCGCCCATTCAACTGATCTAGACGAACTGCTAAGTGATAGGCCGACTTTACCGAGAAGATCCCATCAACAGTAGCATGCCAAACCAGCCGATCCTCAATATTCTGCCTAGGAAGGGGCATTGCCAGAATAGCTTGGCATGTCGGGGGATCAAACCACTGCATAAGCTTCTCCTCGCACCACCGACCTTCCCCTGGGCAAATGACCGCAGAGACCTTTATTTCCCCTTCCACAGGAAGGACCCGCGGATTATACACTGGGGGAACCGGGCACAGCTGTGTAATCCAGTTAGAGTCCAGTAAGGGGGTTGTTTGCCCATTCCCAATCTGCCATCGTAGCCCTGCCGACAACAACTGACGTCCATAAAGAATGCTTTGCCAGAATAATTTTGTTAATATTGAAAATGGTAAGTATCAAACAATATCTCTATACCATATTAAGATGAATAGGGATCTTGGTAAACCAAATCCCTTTGTTATATTATACAATATATGACAGTTGATGAAGTCATTGCTGACGATTCTCATAATTTGCGGTTATATACATCTGTCTCTTTCGCTTCCCACTACTTTAGTGATCATCATTGCTCAACTAAATCAATAAAACAGAAGATAGATCATATTACATAGGTATTTAACTCCAACTTCGTCTTATAATTAACTACTTATTTCTTTGCTTAATATCTCCATGCATGTGATCCACGGAGACGATCATATGGTGCAACATTTTCCTTATCCATATATTCCTAGCATTTCACTGTTCTATTACCAACTAGTTTGTTCTAAAAATTTGAATTGTTGAAAGAAATTTAAAGTACTTAATCTAATAAACTAATTGATTATGTATTCCACTAAAAATTAACTCTGGTGGGTAAATGATGATGATGGCTGGATCGCGATGTTGGTGGGAGCTGCAATTACAAATGTTGTTATCTTGCATGCTTCTTCCAATAATAATAATAATTAGTTTTGCATGTTAATAGTTGTATTTGTTGGTTGGTATGATCGTACCCGTCAACTTCTCGTGCTCATTTGTATATCTCCTAGTAATCCGCTTCTGGTAGGATCGGGCTTGGCGGTTTGACGGCCATAACTTTGCGCTCGGTTGTCCGATTGACGCAATTTTTTTTTTTATTCCGCACAACTTTTCGAGACCTACGCAGCGACAAACCTCCTCTTGCGTCGCTGCCCGCCTAAAATGAAAAAAAGAGGAAAAAAATTCGCGAAAAAAATAAGTCAAAAAGGGGTGCATATATATTTCCTTGCTGTTTTCTCCTTGCGTGATGATGGCCTTATGACTTGTAATCAAATGCATGAAACACGAACCATATATAATATGGCATCTAGTTTTCCTTCATATTAAAACCCTAACTTGAAAGTAGGGGAGACTTTCCAATTTTCCATGGCATGATTAGGGCATAAAAGAAACGAGTTTACAGGGCCATTCAAAGAGGAATGAAGTGGAAGGGAATGGCTTTACTCATATTTGTTAAACAAACTGTGGGAGGGTTAGTAACACGTTAGCATGTTTACACACATGTCATATTTTATAGCTCCTGAAAATGTTGTAAAATAAGTTAATATAATTAATAGGATAACTAAGTTTATGTACCACCTATAATAACGTGGGAATCTAGTTATATAAGACACTCGAGATAGTGAACTATAAAGTTTCTCTCTCGGTGAACATGATTTAAACGAACTTTTCAAGCGAAAGAAGAACATACATGATGTTTCAAATAACAACGACGTATATGAAATCTGTCGCCCTATATATTGAACGGGCAAGAAGATAATAGTAGAATCTCGCTGTAAAACTAGCTTAATGTATTCCTCATTTTTCATGTAAGTTTTTGAAGGTAAAATAATTGGCATGATTTCTAGTGATATGACTGCATCTTCAAAACTGACGTTTAAAGTCTTCGACTAGTAGCTTTCATGCGTCTAATTAATTACCTTTCCTATCTCTCCTTAGCTTTATCTCGTCGATATATTAAAATGCATCCGACGGGGAAATGAATGAAGTGCACATTTTTCAGCCATGTTCCAAGTATATGCGCATATATATTGCTTTCCCAGTTCCCACAAGGCCAAAATAGCCAATAAAATAGTATATTCGCCGGTCAAAAATTGCTCAAAAAGAAAGAAAGAAAGAAAGAGATTCACCTCCCACTTCTTTTGGGGACATGGACTACTCATATTCTTGTTTGTCATTCCCTTCTTTCGGTTTCTTGTTTCATCCCCAGAGATCAATCACTTAAAAATATCCAAAGTCATGTAACCATTTCTAAAGGTGATACGTCTGGCGGCAGAGCCACATTCATCTAACTAGGTAGGGTTTTATATATGGAGGAAACCACTCGAAAAAATAGGAATATATGCTTATGGTGAGTTGCGTTGAAGTTCAAGTAAGAGAAATTTGGAGTTCGCCTAACAATTTCGTACCGTCCTTTTATCAGCTTGGTCGATCGAATTAGAGGTGTTTTTGTGTATGGCTCATAACCGTCCATTTCGTAATTCAACTAGTTTCAATTAATGATGATGGGTATATCAATAAAAGGTCATATTGGTTATGTTCTATATTGTGAATAACGTCGAATAAATCATCAATAATTGATCTTTACCGGTCCGGGGGTGGATCGGGATGGATTGTAGGTGAACATAATTAAGACAAATTAATAATAAATGCATTACAATTAGTCGGCAGGTCGAGAGGAACATGGTAATTAAACTATGTGAGGTCTCTTGAATATTTTTCTCGCATCAATTGTGTGTAGGGAGCCATTTGAGGGTTTGATTGACCTGGGGAAACAAATGGTTATACGTACGTTACAAAAGGAAAGAGGGTATGGATTATTTCATTATTTGTGATAATTGATAAACAAATAGCTTCGCATCTAATGGAAATATTGCGTACACAAATAATTATATTGGATTCCAGTTAAGTAGTACATATGATATTTAAACGTACCACGAGGATACGACCAACCAAATACGTTGTTATATATTGCATCTCAATTAAGGGGTCTCCTAAAAAATCCCAGATAGATTATGGGCAAAATCTTTGGATTGGATTACATGAGTTGGATTTTTATTATGTCACCTACATATAAGCCGATCTAATTAAGAAAAAGTGTTATTCTAATTAGAGTTCATGAGTGAAAGGGGTGTGTTGAGGGCATGACGACCGACAAGATCAATTCGAGGAGGATGAGGACGGCGTGGTGATAAGATTGACACGTCAGAGGGAGAGGAATTAGGGTTCGTTTATACTTGTGATGTACCGTGTGGAAACTATAGAGAAGGGATGTGCCGAATTTGAGAGAGCCTCACTAGGGAAGGGAGGAAGACGATATTGTTTGGTGACTAGTGGTAGTGAATAATAACTTAACAGACCGATTAGGTAACCGATTTCGAATTGGTTGATCAATCAATTTATCATTTTGATTTTTTAAGTTAACCGGCGATCTGTTAAACAACCCTTCTAATGGTGCTCAAAGATCACATCAAAAGCCTCTACCTCTATATACCAGCCATGAAAAATACATTCTGAAAGAGAATTAAAAATATCTATACACAAATTTCAACTAATAAGATGAAAACGCTTGTGCATGTTACCTTTGTTTCTTTCTTACAAAAATCATGATACCATTGCTTTTCAATTGCATGGTGGTAAGACTAGAGGAAAGAAAGGAAACAAAAAGGCTACAAATTAAAGGCATTCAACAATTTCTGAAGATAAGATTGGTTAAAGGTGGAATATATAACTTAGCCATCTAAGGAAGCAATGACATAAGGTGGAACTACTTTGGTTCCCCTTTAAGGGAAACTTCTAGGATGGATCAGGTTTGAGAGATGACCTTCAAGTGTAGATGCAATTGCACTTGCCCAACTACCCAATTAAAGCTATTCTTATTATTCCTTTGTAAATGTTGTCTAAGGGGAGATGATCTCAAAATATATATTCACATAAGAATTTTGAACAACAGGTGTGATCCATGGCAGTTGATAAGTCCAAAAGGACTAGAACCCACCAATCAATTAAATACACCTAATTATTAGAAACCCCAGTATAATAAACTAATGATGATTGATAAATAGGAATGGAGATTCCCAACTTGGGTTTTTCTTCTATAACTTATAATCTGCACCTGTTCACCCAGCTAGCTTGGGAGTAATTTAAATTAGTCATTAATTTTTTAATTTATTTTAAAATGTATTATGAAATGATTAAGAAGATATTGGGAGATGCCTTCTTTGCTAATTGGGAGATGTCTTCTTTGTTTATGTGATCTACCTACACATTCAATTTGGTTTCATTAGATTTTGTTTTTCTCTCGTTTATGTCTTTCTTTCTTGTTGTGGCTGTTATATTTAACGAAATAACTAGGTGGGTGTGCCGCGCTTGGCAGCGGCAATGCAGTGCGAAACAAAATGTTAGCCCGTGAGTATGTTTTGACTATTTATGATTACATACATTTGACTATATACCGAGCTCCAAATTAAAAATTACCCACCTTTAAACACAGTTTGAAATAAAATACTCAACTTGCTAACAACTACGATTATTATCGCATGCGTGTGAAGTAGCAACTAATAGAAATACTAACAAACTAAACATAATTATCTACAAACATGTATAACCTCTATATATATAGAAGGTTATGTCTTCGGTGCACTCACATTTTTGGGTGCATTCAATGCACTCGCTTCATATTTGTCATTATGAGCATGCGATTCAGGTCAAAACAATGTTAATCATCACGTATGATACGATGAAAAAGAAACCCCATGAATTAGCACAAAAATTATTCAAAATTTACATTAATTTGAAGAAATTATGATTTATAGATTTAGGGTTAGGGTTCATGATTTGGGGTTTAGGGCAAAAGTTCAAAATTGAAGGTTTAGGGCTTAGGGTAATGCATTGATTAGTTGTGATCTTATATTATATTATCATATTACACTAATCTTACCAATTAAAATAAAAAATTGATGTCTTAAGGCTACTTTTAGAATTGGGTGCATTGAATGCACTCATTTTTGTGAGTGCACCGAAGTAGCCACCATATATAAAATTATAGAAACCTCGTAAAGTGATAACAAATTAACATTTAATTAAATAAAAACAAAACAGTTTTGAGGAAATGAAAAACTTGCAGGGATTATCCCACCCATTATCTGTCTCTCCCAATTACTTAGTCCACCTCAGATCCCATTATCTAATCTTATAAATGAAAAAATCCAAACTTTATCTCATTCCTTCAACCCATTTGATATCACGATGATTCTCCCCTTTTTGAATTGAAATCCTACTCTCTTTTCATTTTCATCGTTGACAACTGCAATTACCCTTCATTTCTTCTTCTTGGGTTGTCTTCAACCAGCAGCAAACTAACCAACAGAGACACGCAATAGAATCCCCCAAATCCAATTTCACTTTTGCATGTTCTGCTCAATTTGATCAATGAAATTGGATATCAGCTGAATCTATTCTCTGTCTGACCGTCCC